ATTCTATCTCTGGACGGTAATGTAGAAGATCCTGGACTCGCACACTATTCTCCTGGTGTGAACCCGGTTACGGACTGTATGCATCTCAAATATTACCCGGGGAGTTCAACTGAAAACTCTCATCTTGAGGAGCTCATTGATAAATCACGTACTTCTGCCCCAATGATCCATCCAGGCCGTGTGGAAAGAAGGCCAGATCCATCGGACCCAAAGGAACCTCTTTCTGCTTTAGATATTGTTCCACAGAAAGGCAGAGAGATATTCCGGTGCTCCAAATGTGATAGAACTTTTACCTCCAAGTCCTCTCTCGTTGGCCATCAACGGGCGCACGCCAAGAAGGTTCTCTTTTTATGTTTTCAGTGCAGGAAACCGTTCGCTCGCAAGTCGGAACTTGTAAGACACGAAAGGCGTCACACCGGGGAGCGGCCGTATTCGTGTCTGGAATGCGAGAAAAGTTACTTTGAAAAATTTGAACTGGTCAGACATCAAAGTTTTCACACCGGAGTGCGGCCACATCCGTGTACGGAGTGCGATAGAAGCTTTGCCCATAAAAAGAGCCTGGAGAATCATATGAAAGGTCACGTCAATGCGGAGGCTTTGAACTGAGAATTCATCACACAAAAGTCAAATCGGCCGGCAATGCTTTGTCCACAATGAGTCATAGTTGTGAAATTTGGCATTCCAGAAGAAATACCTCCTGACACAGGTGACATATTTGGTGGCATTTCATACTTTGAGTTGACCTGTCCATACATATGGTGTCATCTCCTGATGCTGATGACACCTTTTAGGGACATTAGATAGGTTGAGTTGACCTCTCCATAAATATGGTCATAAATTCGGTGTCACCTCCTGATGCCGATGACACGTTTGGTAGCTTTTCATAGGTTGAGTTGACCTCTCCATAAATATGGTGCCATCTCCTGATGCCGATGACACCTTTGGTGGCATTTCATAGGTTGAGTTGACCTGTCCATACATATAGTGTCATCTCCTGATGCCAATGACACCTTTGGGGGCATTTCATAGTTTGAGTTGACCTGTCCATAAATATGGTCATTAATATGGTGTCATCTCCTGAAACCGATGACACCTTTGGTGGCTTTTCATAGGTGGAGTTAACCGTTCCATAAATATGGTGTCATCTTCTTACACCAATGACACCTTTGGTGGCATTTCATAGGTTGAGTTGACCTGTCCATACATATAGTGTCATCTCCTGATGCCAATGACACCTTTGGTGGCATTTCATAGGTTGAGTTGACCTGTCCATACATATAGTGTCATCTCCTGATGCCAATGACACCTTTGGGGGCATTTCATAGTTTGAGTTGACCTGTCCATAAATATGGTCATTAATATGGTGTCATCTCCTTACACCGACGACACCTTTGGTGGCTTTTCATAGGTTGAGTTGACCTCTCCATAAATATGGTGTCATCTCCTGATTCTGATGCCACCTTTAGGGGCATTTCATAGGCTGAGTTGACCTGCCCATAAATAAAAGGTTGAGGTCTTGAAGTGACATCCATCCTGGGTGAGTCTGGCAGGCTGAGTAGATTGCTGCCTTCTTATCTCTTGAGGACTTTAGTGGTGAATTCTTCCTGACAACGTTCCAGCCATTGTTCCTGTACATCTTCTAGTTTTTAGACTTCCTGCCCACCTCGGAGGTTCCCACACCTCCAGCTGCATTGTTTTAAGAAATCAAAATACGCAACAGGCAGAATGGGAGCATCTTGTAAGAGCTAAAGTGGGGTTGAAGACCTTGGAGGTCCTCCATGTGGAGTCCACAAGAGATATAAGAACTGTTAGGTCATTTGATTCTTCAATAATCGTCACACCCAACTAATTGAATTCCGAGAAGAAGAGGGATCTTCTCAAGCAGACTTCCATTCTACGAGGTGAAGGAGATGAATAACAATTTTTTATCAGTCAAGAGAACAAAGGAAGAAGACGAGGGATCTTCTCAAGCAGACTTCCATTCTACGAGGTGAAGGAGATGAATAACGATTTGTATCAGTCAAGAGGACAAAGGAAGAAGACGAGAGATCTCCTCAAGCAGACTTCCATTCTACGAGGTGAAGGAGATGAATAACAATTTGTATCAGTCAAGAGGATAAAGGAAGAAGACGAGGGATCTTCTCAAGCAGACTTCCATTCTACGAGGTGAAGGAGATGAATAACAATTTGTATCAGCCTAGAGGACAAAGGAAGAGGACGAGGGATCTTCTCAAACAGACTTCCATTCTAAGAGGTGAAGGAGATGAATAACGATTTGTATCAGTCAAGAGGACAAAGGAAGAGGACAAGGGATCTTCTCAAGCAGACTTCCATTCTACGAGGTGAAGGAGATGAATAACGATTTGTATCAGTCAAGAGGACAAAGGAAGAGGACGAGGGATCTTCTCAAGCAGACTTCCATTCTACGAGGTGAAGGAGATGAATAACGATTAGACTGTACGAGTGAGATGAGATTCTGGGTAAATGTCTGGAATTATAAATTTTTAGAAGGCCGTGACATCATCAGAGTGTGGCCCATTTCTTTGTTGATGACACGTACGGGGGGTGCGAACACGTTCCATCCAGCCGCCACCTGTGTCCACGGAGAGGAAAATGCTCAAGAGGACAAAGGAAGAGGACGAGGGATCTTCTCAAGCAGACTTCCATTCTACGAGGTGAAGGAGATGAATAACAATTTGTATCAGTCAAGATAACAAAGGAAGAGGACGAGGGATCTTCTCAAGCAGACTTCCATTCTACGAGGTGAAGGAGATGAATAACAATTTGTATCAGTCAAGAGGACAAAGGAAGAAGACGAGGGATCTTCTCAAGCAGACTTCCATTCTACGAGGTGAAGGAGATGAATAACGATTGGTACCAGTCAAGAGGACAAAGGAAGAGGACGAGGGATCTTATCAAGCAGATTTCCATTCTACTAGGTGAAGGAGATGAATAAGGATTGGTACCAGTCAAGAGGACAAAGGAAGAGGACGAGGGATCTTCTCAAGCAGACTTCCATTCTACGAGGTGAAGGAGATGAATAACGATTAGTACCAGTCAAGAGGACTAAGGAAGAAGACCAGGGATCTTCCTATTCTAGGAGGTGAAGGAGAGGCATAACGATACAAAAGATCTTGGCAAGGTTCAATGGGGGGGCATTTGTACGTCAAGAGGATGAAGGCTTCATTTTCGAAGACTTGGGTATGATTGTGTACCCCAAAAAGAACTAAACAGATCCCAGAGCATATTTTGTTCAACTACAAACAGCTCCTAGAAATGGGACTTTAAAGGAGAGTTACAAATTTAGAGGAGACGCGTCCTTTTCAATGCAATGATAATGATTTGTATCTTATATATTTACGTTTAATAAACATTTGTTGTAAGTGTTTTAAAATTGTTCAATGGTGTCCAAGAGAGATGCACATGGACCTCCAAAAACAGCCCTCAACAGTAATGCTCAACCCCTCTGGTACCACAGATGTGGGCGGTGTGATGTGAAACAGAACTTGCACATGGCGGCAATTGACTTGAGCTTGAAAAGTCCATGTGACCATAGAGGTCAATAAATATTTCGGGCAGTGCACATTGGAGAAGACCTGATATTCATTATCCTGAACACGCTCTTCCTTTACATTTATTGCTTCCGTAACATCGAAGACATTTTCCTGCTTATCGGAGTAGCTTCCTCACATGTAATAAGTGTCAGGGACACTCAGGAACACTTGTGTGAGAGACACACAGGAACACTTGTGAGGGAAACACTCAGGAACACTTATGTCAGGGATACTCGGGAATAGTCAGTGGAAAGACACTCAGGAACACTCATGTGAGGGACACTCATGTGAGGGACACTCATGAACACTTATGTGAGAGACACTCAGGAACACTCATGTGAGGGACACTCAGGAACACTCATGTGAGGGACACTCAGGAACACTCATGTGAGGGCCACTCAGGAACACTCATCGGAGGGACACTCAGGAACACTCATGTGAGGGACACTCAGGAACACTTGTGAGGGACACTCAGGAACACTTGTGAGGGACACTCAGGAACACTCATGTGAGAGACACTCAGGAACACTCATGTGAGGGACACTCAGGAACACTCATGTGAGGGACACTCAGGAACACTCATGTGAGGGACACTCAGGAACACTTATGTGAGGGACACTCAGGAACACTCATGTGAGAAACACTCAGGAACACTTGTGAGGGACACTCAGGAACAGGGACACTCAGGAACACTCATGTGAGGGACACTCAGGAACACTCATGTGAGGGACACTCAGGAACAGTCATGTGAGGGACACTCAGGAACACTTATGTGAGGGACACTCAGGAACACTTATGTGAGGGACACTCAGGAATACTCATATGAGGAACACTCATACACTTATGTGAGGGACACTCAGGAACACTCATGTGAGAAACACTCAGGAACACTCATGTGAGGGACACTCAGGAACACTTATGTGAAGGACACTCAGGAACACTCATATGAGGGACATTCAGGAACACTCATATGAGGGACACTCAGAAACACTCATATGAGGGACACTCGTGAGGGACACTCAGGAACACTCATGTGAGGAACACTTGTGTCAGGGACACTCGTGTCAGGCACACAATGGCTCAGACATTCCATGATTATCGCCATCGATGGCTCAGGGACTCAATGTTCCTCTCCATCGATGGCTCAGCGATTCTATGTTCATCTCCACTGATGGTTCAGAGATGTTGTAAGCTGGAGGAGAACCACCTATAGACTGCTGTTAGGCCTTCCACAGAGGAAGGTGCTCCCCTCCAGTGACTGTGTCCTGTTGATGAAGTGAGTCCTGTGCTTCATGTATAGGCTTGCAGCCACTTGAACCTGGGGGACCTAGAAGTCTTTAGTAGGCTGGTTGCCAGCCCAAAGCCTGTAGAAGCAAGCCCTACATGCTGGCCCTGGGTATAGAGAACTATGACTGAGATGCAGCTTGCTTGAAGCATGCATTTGTGATGACCACTGTAAGCTGGGCTCCATGGGAGCATCTTGTCAGCACCTACATCCTGGTTGAGTGGGAGGAACCAGTTAACGTGTTGAGGATAGACCTAGACTATACGAGTGAGATGAGATTCTGGGTAAATGTCTGGAATGATACATTTTTAGAAGACCGTGACATCATCAGAGTGCGCCCCATTTCTTTGTTGATGACACGTACGGGGGGCGCGAACACGTTCCATCCAGCCGACACCTGTGTCCACGGACAGGAAAATGCTCCGCTGCTCGGACGCAGCAGCTTTTCCTGGTCCTCACCCCCCGAAGAAACTCAGATGTGAAGATCCATGGATCAAGTTTTTCTCAAACTTTACATTTTAATAAAGTTTTGGAATTTTTGAAATGTTTTTCACTCCGCGAGGATTTTATTCGGATACGACGCAGATGCCTAAAAAATACAAGGACAGTCGACAGAAGAGAAATCAAAGTGCGGAAAGGCGTCATACACCGCGAGAATGAAATCCACCACACGGTGGTGATCGCAAGAACTTCACATGGAACGCAGAGACAGGAAGTGATGTCAGGTGCAGACAGGAAGTGAAGTCGGTTACAGACAAGAAGTGATGTAAGGTGCAAACAGGAAGCAATGTTGGCTAAAGACAGGAAGCTCTGAGTTGGGAAGAAGTCGAGAGGAGACATTGCTGAAACTGGCAGCAGACGAGGTAATAAGGTCCATCCTAAATATAGAGCCATTTATCTGACGTCTTCGCAAACAAAGCGTGCGGGAAATGTATCATGTAGGTAGTTATCCTTTTATTATCCTCAACGGAGGAGTTTCCTGTGTAAATCACATGACCACATAGAACAGGACCAGAGTCAGGTGAATGAGGGGATATTAAACATCCACCTGCTGACGGGAGAGGTGAGCGGTGCCGGGAATTCTGGGACATGATCCAGGAACAGACAAGGGGTGTGTCTGGGTGGTGACGGGAGAGGTGAGCGGTGCCGGGGATTCTGGGACATGATCCAGGAACAGACAAGGGGTGTGTCTGGGTGGTGACGGGAGCGGTGCCGGGGATTCTGGGACATGATCCAGGAACAGACAAGGGGCGTGTCTGGGTGGTGACGGGAGAGGTGAGCGGTGCCGAGAATTCTGGGACATGATCCAGGAACAGACAAGGGGCGGGTCTGGGTGGTGACGCTATCATTGTGTGTGTCAGGTTCCTATAAGGTGTCAGGAGGTCTCTGTCTATCTCTCCATGGAGGAGTGGGAGTATCTAGAAGGACACCGGGATCTCTACAAGGACGTGGTGATGGAGAATGCCCCGCCCCTCACATCACCGGGTAAGAGGAGAGAGCAGTACGGAGGCTCCGCCTACATCCCCCATCATCTGATACACACATAGAAACAATGTATTCAGTCAGTGTGTGTGTTTCCTACAGATGGATCCAGTAAGAGGAACCCACCAGAGAGATGTCCCCGCCCCCTGTATTCCCGGGACCCCACCCAGGAAGATCTCACCATCCCCCACCATGAGAGATGTCCCCGCCCCCTGTATTCCCGGGATCCCACCCAGGAAGATCTCACCCTCCCCCACCATGATCAGGTAGGTGGAGTTGGATCATCTCCAAACTGTATGAGATAATCACCTCTGAGGTCTTCAGGTGTTAGTGGTCATGTTCTGAGGATGTTGTTTTTATCATGTTGTGGTTTTAGGGTGAAGATCTAAATGATATAAAAGTTGAGGTAAAAAAGGAAGAAGAAGAGGAGCCGTATGTGACGAGTGGTCAGCAGTGTACGGAGGAGTTGGACGTGGTTTTGGATACAATCAAAGAGGAGGAACCTTCTCCAGATATCAGCTCAGGTGAGTAATGAGTAGGAACTGTTCGCATTTTCCTTTTACGCATAGAAACAATGTATTCAGTCAGTGTGTGTGTCTCCTACAGATGGATCCAGTAAGAGGAACCCACCAGAGAGATGTCCCCGCCCCCTGTATTCCCGGGACTCCACCCAGGAAGATCTCACCATCCCCCACCAGGATCAGGTAGATGATGGACAATCATGATTTATACACAAGTGTATTGGTTACAATTGATGACATCATACATTTGGAGTGGAAACCTCAGGGATAATGTTACTGAAGAAGAGTTTAAGAAGAGTGTGGTGTGATGGAGGACATAAGGATCTCCACAAGGACAGTATAATGAAGCCATCTAGTGATAGAAACCTAGTGAGTGATGTCCCCTTCCTCTGTATTCCCGGGATTCCACACAGGAAGATCTCACCGTTACTCACTGTTATTATGTAGATGAAGTTGGAGTTCCATAAAGAGGACTCGATACTGTATGAGATAATCATCTCTGAGGTCTTCCGGTGTTGGTGGTCATGTTCTGAGGATGTTTTTTTTAATCATTTTGTGGGTTTAGGGTGAAGAGCTGATTGATATCAAAGTTGAGGTAAAGAAGGAAGAAGAAGAGAAGCCGTATGTGATGGGCGGTCAGCAGTCTACGGAGGAGGACGTGGTTATGGAGACCATTAAAGAGGAGGAACCTTCTCCAGATATCAACTCAGGTGAGTAATGAGCAGAAACTGCTTACAAGTATGGAAATGGATTGAGAACAAGGAATCGGGAGACCATCACAGGCTCAGGTAGACTTAGATTATAAATGGTAGACCAGCATAGGAAGTCCTATTCGGTCAGTTTATCTTGTTGTACAACAAGCCTAAGTGGTCTTCTTTTGTTCAACCTCTCGGCTCTGTCACAAACATGGAACCATATGAAGGTCCATCTCCATTCCCCAATATAACGTCATGTGACCAACAAATGAGGAGGAGATACTGTACACCATATGAAGGTCCATCTCCATTCCCCAATATAACGTCATGTGACCAACAAATGAGGAGGAGATACTGTACACCATATGAAGGTCCATCTCCATTCCTCAATATAACGTCATGTGACCAACAAATGAGGAGGAGATACTGTACACCATATGACGGTCCATCTCCGTTCCTCAATATAACGTCATGTGACCAGCAAATGAGGAGGAGATACTGTACACCATATGAAGGTCCATCTCCATTCCTCAGTATAACGTCATGTCCCCAACAAATGAGGAGGAGATACTGTACACCATATGAAGGTCCATCTCCATTCCCCAATATAACGTCATGTGACCTACAAATGAGGAGGAGATACTGGACACCATATGAAGGTCCATCTCCATTCCTCAATATAACATCATGTGACCAACAAATGAGGAGGAGATACTGTACACCATATGAAGGTCCATCTCCATTCCCCAATATAACGATACGACCCCTGAAGGATAGATACGACTCCTGAAGGATAGATACGGCCCCTGAAGGATAGATACGACCCCTGAAGGATAGATACGACTCCTGAAGGATAGATACGACCCCTGAAGGATAGATACGACTCCTGAAGGATAGATACGACCCCTGAAGGATAGATACGACCCCTGAAGGATAGATACGACCCCTGAAGGATAGATACGACCCCTGAAGGATAGATACGACCCCTGAAGGATAGATACGACCCCTGAAGGATAGATACGACCCCTGAAGGATAGATATGGCCCCTGAAGGATAGATACGACCCCTGAAGGATAGATACGACTCCTGAAGGATAGATACGGCCGCTGAAGGATAGATATGGCCCCTGAAGGATAGATACGGCCCCTGAAGAATAGATACGGCCCCTGAAAGATAGATACGACTCCTGAAGGATAGATACGACTCCTGAAGGATAGATACAACCCCTGAAGGATAGATACGGCCGCTGAAGGATAGATACGACTCCTGAAGGATAGATACGGCCCCTGAAGGATAGATACGACTCCTGAAGGATAGATACGACTCCTGAAGGATAGATACGACTCCTGAAGGATAGATACGACTCCTGAAGGATAGATACGACTCCTGAAGGATAGATACGACTCCTGAAGGATAGATACGACTCCTGAAGGATAGATACGACTCCTGAAGGATAGATACGACTCCTGAAGGATAGATACGACTCCTGAAGGATAGATACGACTCCTGAAGGATAGATACGACTCCTGAAGGATAGATACGACTCCTGAAGGATAGATACGACTCCTGAAGGATAGATACGACTCCTGAAGGATAGATACGACTCCTGAAGGATAGATACGACTCCTGAAGGATAGATACGACTCCTGAAGGATAGATACGACTCCTGAAGGATAGATACGACTCCTGAAGGATAGATACGACTCCTGAAGGATAGATACGACTCCTGAAGGATAGATACGACTCCTGAAGGATAGATACGACTCCTGAAGGATAGATACGACTCCTGAAGGATAGATACGACTCCTGAAGGATAGATACGACTCCTGAAGGATAGATACGACTCCTGAAGGATAGATACGACTCCTGAAGGATAGATACGACTCCTGAAGGATAGATACGACTCCTGAAGGATAGATACGACTCCTGAAGGATAGATACGACTCCTGAAGGATAGATACGACTCCTGAAGGATAGATACGACTCCTGAAGGATAGATACGACTCCTGAAGGATAGATACGACTCCTGAAGGATAGATACGACTCCTGAAGGATAGATACGACTCCTGAAGGATAGATACGACTCCTGAAGGATAGATACGACTCCTGAAGGATAGATACGACTCCTGAAGGATAGATACGACTCCTGAAGGATAGATACGACTCCTGAAGGATAGATACGACTCCTGAAGGATAGATACGACTCCTGAAGGATAGATACGACTCCTGAAGGATAGATACGACTCCTGAAGGATAGATACGACTCCTGAAGGATAGATACGACTCCTGAAGGATAGATACGACTCCTGAAGGATAGATACGACTCCTGAAGGATAGATACGACTCCTGAAGGATAGATACGACTCCTGAAGGATAGATACGACTCCTGAAGGATAGATACGACTCCTGAAGGATAGATACGACTCCTGAAGGATAGATACGACCCCTGAAGGATAGTTACGACTCCTGAAGGATACATACGACTCCTGAAGGATAGATACGACCCCTTAAGGATAGATACGGCCCCTGAAGGATAGATACGGCCCCTGAAGGATAGATATGGCCCCTGAAGGATAGATACGGCCCCTGAAGGATAGATATGCCCCTGAAGGATAGATACGACCCCTGAAGGATAGTTACGACTCCTGAAGGATAGATACGGCCCCTGAAGGATAGATATGGCCCCTGAAGGATAGATATGGCCCCTGAAGGATAGATACGGCCCCTGAAGGATAGATATGACCCCTGAAGGATAGATACGACCCCTGAAGGATAGTTACGACTCCTGAAGGATAGATACGACCCCTGAAGGATAGATATGACCCCTGAAGGGAAGACGGATACAAATATAACATGTACTCATGATTACTCTCTCACAGATGTACAGAAGTGGAATATAAAGACATCGGAGGGACGTCTTATTATATCTCCAGACGGAGAAGCAGAAGACGGCGACATTGCGCAACATTCTCCCAAAGTCAATTCTTCCCGTTCAGAGAGATCGATGGATCAGTCCAATCCTGAGGAACCTTCTGATCAGTCGCGTCACATGACCTCAGATGTCCATCAAGGTCCTCACAGTGCTGAAAGATCAACAGATCCGCCTAATCCCGAGAAATCGCCTTTAATCTATGTTCACATGGGAGAGGGTTCTTTGTCATGTTCTGTGTGCGGGAAAGGCTTTACTGAAAGCAAAAGCCTTCTTGCGCACCAGAGAAGCCACACTGCTAAGCGTCCCTATTCGTGTTCGGATTGCGGGAAATGTTTTTCTGGGAAGGGACACCTTTTTATACACCAGAGAAGTCACACCGGCGAGCGTCCCTTTTCGTGTTCAGAGTGTGGGAAAAGTTTTTCTGTAAAGGGAAACCTTCTCATACACCAGAGAAGACACACAGGTGAGCGCCCCTATTCCTGTTCAGTGTGTGGGAAATGTTTTCCAGAAATAGGAAACCTTCTTACACACGAGAGAGTTCACACCGGTGAGCGCCCCTATTCATGTTCGGAGTGTGGGAGAAGTTTCACTCGGAAAAGAGCACTTATGGAACACCAGAGAATTCACACAGGTGAACGCCCTTTCCCTTGTTTAGAGTGCGGCAAATGCTTTACTCATAAAGGATCACTTATTCAACACCAGAGAATTCACACAGGTGAACGTCCTTTCCCTTGTTCTGAGTGCGGCAAATGTTTCACTCATAAAGGATCACTTACTAAACACCAGAGAACTCACACAGGTGAGCATCCTTTTTCCTGTTCAGAGTGCGGAAAATGTTTTGTACAAAAAACCTCCCTTCTCATTCACCAGAGGAGTCACACGGGCGAGTGTCCTTATTCATGTTCAGAGTGCGGAAAATGTTTCAATCGCAAAGGAAAACTTCTTTTACACCAGAGACGTCACACGGGTGAGCGCCCCTATTCGTGTTCAGAGTGCGGAAAATGTTTTGTCGAGAAAGCAAAGCTTGTTATTCACCGGAGGATTCACACCGGTGAGCGTCCTTATTGCTGTTCAGAGTGCGGGAATCGTTTCACTCAGAAAAGAACACTTCTGAAACACCAGAGAATTCACAGTGGTGAGCGTCTTTAGTCATGCTCAGAGTGTGGGAAATGTTTAATTGAGGAAAAGCTACTTTTTACACAACAGAGAGGACGCACCTCAATCGTTCTCACTGCCTTCAGAGTGTGGGAAATGTCTAATCAGAGAGAACAGACCTACTGATTCTACTGACAAATGTACAATGAATTTTAAAAGGTGGAGCTGCTTAGCCATCAAAAGAGAACAGAATAAAAATATATTTTTAAACAAGTACAGAAGTGATGTTTTGATGTAGATTGTGGGAGGAGAGCTGTCAGAGAATGTAGTGTGGATTGTGGG